GTGGAATGCAGTTGTGTATTTGTAGCTGTAGTTGTCGTGTAGTGGAGTGTAGTGTAGTGTAGTGGAGTATAGTGGAGTGTAGTTGTGTAGTTGTAGTTGTAGTTGTAGTTGTAGTGTTGTGTAATGTAGTGTAGTGTAGTGGAGTATAGTGGAGTGTAGTGTACTGTAATGTAGTGTAGTGTAGTGTAATTTAGTGTAGTGGAGTGTAGTGGAGTATAGTGGAGTGTAGTTGTGTAGTTGTAGTTGTAGTTGTAGTTGTATTGTAGTGTTGTGTAATGTAGTGTAGTGGAGTGTAGTGGAGTCTAGTGTACTGTAATGTAGTGTAGTGTAGTGTAATGTAGTGTAATTTAGTGCAGTGGAGTATAGTGGAGTGTAGTTGTGTAGTTGTAGTTGTAGTGTTGTGTAATGTAGTGTAGTGTAGGGGAGTGTAGTGGAGTGTAGTATACTGTAGTGTAGTGTAGTGTAATTTTGTGTTGTGGAGTGTAGTGGAGTGTAGTTGTGTAGTTGTGTACTTGTAATTGTAGTGTAGTGTAGTGGAGTGGAGTGTAATGTAGTGTAGTGGAGTGTAGTGTAATGTAGTGTAGTGTACTGAAGCGAAGCGAAGCGACATCTGAACCTCCAAAAGTGGTCCGAACCCCTAGTGCTTTGAACATTTTGACTTCGAAATGTGCTTCGCGCCACAACGGCGTGCACGTTTTCGACATCTGAACCTCCAAAAGTGGTCAAACCCCCGGTGTTTTGAACATTTTGACTTCGAAATGTGCTTCGCGCCACAACGGCGGGCACTTTTTGGACATCTCAACTTCCAAAAGTGGTCCGAACCCCTCGTGTTTTAACATTTTGACTTCGAAATATGCTTTGCGCCACAACGGCGTGCACTTTTTCGACATCTCAACTTCCTTTTTTGCAGCCTGATACTCTGAGTGCCGCGCGCGAAACTCAGCAAGGCAACGAAAGCACAATTAATCAGCGAAAGCAGGAAATGATCTGGGGAATATCAATGGACCGACAGGACACACCAGGACCTCTACCAGAGGGAGACCCACCAGAATAGCCAATTTGAGCAGAAGAATGAACACTTAGGAAAGTGACTTTGTGAATAGAGACGGGTTTGAACAACCCAACAAAACCACTCAACCTCCCAAAATGGAGGTCGCGGAGATTCATGCAATGATGATATGAAGTGAATTTTCCTTTGCAGAAACGGCGAAAACGGGTCTGAATTGATTCAAAAGTGGCCTGGTGCATAAATTGACTAACAAACAACATCTCCCACACCTTTCTTTTCTTCCACTAACTATGTTCCCCGACCCCTTCGAGATCACCCCATCTTGGCCACAGCTCCAGCATGGTCCAGCTACCCTAACATCGCCCGACCCCACAGCGCGGCAGCTCAAACGGGCGCCTGTGCACCGACATCACCGATGCTGTTGTCGATGAGGCCAAGCTTCTGCAGACTGCGGTTTTCCTTCAGTCCCTGCCCCAAGGCCTGGCCGTCTCGGGGCGACAGCATCGAGATGGATTCCCTTTTTCTGAAGCCAAGGCACAGGAACAGATCCGGGGGAAATCTACAGGTGGGGCTCGTCAAACCAACATCAAGCAGATGGGAATCACCAGGCGGTAGGGAACTATCACTTCTAAATCTGTTAATTACAATATTGCTGTGTAAAAAAAAAGGATTGAATGTCAAACATTCCGTCACCAAGAGAAAACGCAATGGTTCGTTCCACACAGATGTGCAGGCGTAAAACAGATGAATCTGGTAGTGTCTGGCATTGGCTCTGATCTTGTGCCGGATGAATGACCGAAGAAAATTCATACGGTTGCTCAACCTGCAGTTGCCAATATCTACAGTTGCACAGTTTCTGACCGAACCACTCTCTCTGTAAATTCTCCAAAATCCTTCGACATTTCAATCATATGTCAAATGGTCAAATAGTCAAATAGTCAAATCTTTTTGCTCTTTAAATCTCTGGGCAATTTTGTGCAAAAATGGATCAAACGATATTTCAAGCTTGCAAGGTTGCAGAAAAGATGAACTGTGCTACCCATGAGATTGAACTCTAAGGCTGAATACGATCGGCAGTTAGTGGGGTGCAAACTGGAGCCTCTTACTCTTTGCTACCGTTTGCTATCAGAGCTCAATGGCCCATTGTGAGTCAGTAGTGCACATGAATTATGCAAAATGTGAGAAAAATGATCGAAATTCAATTCAAAACAATGCTCGAATGACAAAAATCCACTCTCCAGAAAGTGATTAGATAATTAAATGTGAAGAGGACATATTTCGCATGCAGTGATTTAACTATCTAATAATTAAATATTTCTGTAAATTGAGAACCCAAACCATCAAATTAAAAAATGACTGTGTTGAGAGTAACTCAGCTAGCTACCGCTAGCTTTCGTGATCATCACGCTCTTCTTCATCTTCATCATCATAATCATCATCATTTTCTTCAACTTCATCATCAGTTTTTCTTTTTCTTTTTCATCAACCATGCCCGTATCATCATCATCATCACCATCATCATCATCATCATCAGTTTTTTCTTCTTCAACATCCTCACTTTTATACATCTACAAAATGAAATTTATGTATACAGGTGTAGATGCAAACATGAATCTTACTGACAGGCGTTCAAGCGCAGATTCAAATTCAAAGACGCAGGTTGACAGAATTTTCTTTAACACAGCTACCAAACGAATATATGCCATATGCAGGTGTAGTGCGGAAGATATATATAGATCCAGGCAGAAATCCTTTTTTTGGATACGAGAAGTGGGTATATGCAGGTGTGATGTGGCAGATGTAAAGACGCAGGTGGAAATCAATTTCCTACAGACACCTACAACCTTGATTCTAACTTTTCTCTTCGAGCGGCAGGGCAGCGTGGATTGATGTCCACGAAACGCAACCCGTTCGCACGAAATGTCGATCGTCATACATTGAGGTAAAATTGCGATGTGGGTTTGTCCTGGGCCAACCCTTTCCCACGACATGCGTCTCGACCATCAAAAGCTGTGGTGAAACTTTGATTTTGCATATGCGTGCTGAACTCTTTGCGCCGTACGCATGTCCGCCACAGTAAATAATTCAGTAGTATGTCTGTGCGAAAATGCCCGTAGCTAAAAACCCTTCGTGCACATGCATTCCTTTGTAAAAGCACCTCTGTTTGTTTTGGTTTCTGTGTAAAATTGCTCAGTGTAAAATCATCTCTCTGTAAAAGTATTTGTGTGTAAAAAGGCATTTCTCTCTTCTGTGCGAAGGTGTCTCTGTGTAAAAATATCGCTGTGTAAAAGCATGTGTGATCAAAGGCATCCCTGTGACGCAAAATCAACACCAGCGTGTACAAGTATTTGCATGTAAACGTGCCTGCCACTGTGTGTCAAAGTGCCTCTATGTAAAAGTGCTTGCGTGTAAAGGAATCTCAGCGTAAAAGAATGTGTGCGAAAAGCACTGTGTACTGTTGACGTATTAACATGTAAAAACACCTGTGTAAAAGCATCTCTGTGTAAAGGTACCTGCGTTAGCAAAATCATCTCTGCGTAAATATATATATATATATGTATCTTAAAGCACCCGTGTGTAAAAGCATCTCTGTGTTGAAAGTATCTCTGTGTAAGAGCACCTGTAACTAGAAGCATCTCTTTGATTCCCACATGGCTTGAACCCTCCCCCAAGTCGTGGATTCCAGCCTGACCCATGTAAGAGTACCTCTTCCTAGATGCGTCCTAGTGTACAAGCACCTGTATGTAAAAGCATCTGTCCGTAAAAGTATCCGTGCAAAAATCCTTTTTGTAAAAGTGTATGTGTCTAAAAAGACACCTTTGTACACATGTTTTTTCTGTGTGAAGAACATATCTGTGTGAGAGTATTTAATGTAAAATCTTCTGTGTGTAAAAACTAATTTGTGTCAAAAGAAACCCCGTGTAAATGCACGTGCGTGTAAAAGCACTCCTCTGTAAAAGAATCGCTGTGTAAAGGCATCTGCGTGTAGAAGTGCCCACGTGTCTGTGTGTAAAAGCTCTTTTTTGTATAAAAGCATCCCTGTGTAAAAACACCTGCGCATGAAGGTATTTGCGTGTAAAACCATCCCTGGGTAAAAGCATGTGTATGTGTAAATGCCGGTGTGAAAACATGTCTTTGTGAAAGCACTTCTGTGTGAAAGTATCGGTGTACCATATGTTGGTCGTTTGCTGTTAGAATCTCTAAGCTACGTAGCAGTTGCCGCAAAATTGCTCGGTTTTTGCAGCATTCTGCAGCTAGCACCCGTACATTGCATGGCATGATGCAACATCAGTTCATTGCACGGAGCTTTGCCATCGAGTAATTTTTGCAGCAGTGCAAAGCTAACATCGGCAAATCGCATGATAGTTGCAAGATATGGGATCATATCTGCAAACTGTGCTGTGATGTTCACGGCGCTCTGAACAAAAAAATCTGTACACTGGATATAGAATGTTCGCAGTTTTTAGAAACCAAAAACTATCACTTGCACAGTATGTGCAGCATTTTAGTGCGTCGCATAGTCTTGGCAAAATTTGCAACTATCATTGGTAAACCGCATGGCATGCGCAGCATTTTGAAATTGACGTCTGTCAATTGGATGCTACTCTTACAACTTTCTTGAAGTTATCATCTGCAGATTGCACAACGTGGCATGGTGTTTGCAGCATGTTGCGGCTAACATCTGTAAACTGCACGGTCTTTGCCACATTTCGAAACCAACATTTGCGAATTTCTTCGGACCTGCAACTCTTTGAAAGTAACATGTGCACATGGGAAAGTGCACGCAGCATTTTGGAGCTAGGCCTTCATTTCTTTCTTCCTGCCGTCCTCCTTCCTTCCTTCCCTCCCTCCCTCTTTCTTTCCCTTCCTCCTGTGAGGATTATGTCCTTCTTTCTTTTCCTATTAGTTTTTCTATTACCTTTTTCCTTTGATACATTTGCGCGAGGGTCTCAGTGCAAGCGTAGCATGCAACAGGCATGTCAACTCCTCGGATGAGGTGAGCAGCCCACTGCCCTGGTTGCTGCATGGACTGAGGTAATGTCCGCAGTTGCTTCGGTAGAAGCATCATAATTAGTCCGTAAGTTACTTCATAACTTCATAACATACGTCAACATCTGTCCCTCCCCCCATTTCAACTCAAACTTGCAAACGCAAGGTCGTCGTCACATCGTCATCGTCTTCGTTGTCGTCATCGTCATGGTCCTCATCCTCATCATCATCATCATCATCATCACCGTCGTCGTCGTCGTCGTCGTCGTCATCATCATCATCATCAACATCATCGTCATCGTCATCGTCATCACCGTCGTCATCGTCGTCGTCACCGTCGTTGCCGTCATCGCCGTCGTCGTCATGACAACAGCACGCAACCGTTGAAGACTACCTGGTGCATGGCACAACCAACGGACCACCAACACAACCGCCCCGACACCACCAACACGACGCCACCAAGATACGACCAAGACACCGTGAACACCTTGAATCAACATGGAAGCCGCTGAGACACCACCAAGACACCACCGAGACCAGCAACACCACCGAGACATCATCGACGCACCACCGAAACACCAACACGACCGAGACCCCACCGAGACACCACCAAGACGCCACCCAGGCACCACCGAGACACAACCACAAGACACCACCCAGACACCACCAGACACCACCCAGACACCACCAAAACACCACCAAGACACCACCGAGACACAACCGAGACACCACGAGACACCACCGAGATACCACCGACAGACCACCGAGACACCACGGACACCACCGAGGCACCACGGATGCCACCAAGACACCACCAAGACACCACCAAGACACCACCAAGACACCACCAAGACACCACCGAGACACCACAGCGAGACATCGTCGAGACACCACCGAGACACCACGGAGACACACCAAGACACCACCAAAACACCACGGACACTGAGACACCACTAAGACACCACCGAGACCCCACCGAGACACCACCAAGACATCACCGAGACACCACCGAGACACCACCAAGACACCACCGAGACACCACCTAGACACCACCGAGATACCACCGAGACACCACCAAGACCCCACCAAGACACCACCAAGACATCACCGAGACAGCGCGGACACCACCGAGACACCACCAAGACACCACCGAGACACGACCGAGACACCACCGAGATACCACCGAGACACCACCAAGATACCACCGAGACACCACCGAGACACCACCGAGACACCACCAAAACTGCCAAAACACCTATGAGACACCACCAAGACCAGGCCGGCAGCCGTAAACCCGACAGCGCCCATCCGCCTTTAGAGAACAACCCCGTTCTGACTGCCGCTGAACACTGCTACTATTCAATTGCATCTGCACTCCCACCGTTTTAACTGCCTGAACGAAGCTGTAGCGAAAGACCAAGCTGTACTCAGATTCTGGTTAGGTTTTCACCAAAATCCTCGACTGCTGTGCTCAGATCAAAGTAGCTGCC